GCGGGACTGCGTTGGATCGTCGTCGTCGCCTCCCTCATCATATGTCCCCCGTCACTCACTCCTCCTCCTCCTCCTCCTCCTCCTCCTCCTCCGCCGCCGCCTGCTCCTCCTCCTCCTCCTCCTCCTCCTCCTCCTCCTCCTCCTCCTCCTCCTCCTCTCCTCCTTTAGCCTCGTGTTAGGACCCGTGGTTTGCCCCCGTCGCAAAGGCTGGCGCTCTGGCTCCGGCGCGGGCCCCATGTATAGACCTGAGTTCCTCGTCGTTGTCGCCCCGCTCCCTTCCCCTCCTCCGCACTCCCCCGGTCCTCCTGCTCCTCCCGCTTCTCCTGCTGCTGCTGCTGCTCCTCGTCGTCCTTCTCCGCCTGCTCATCCTCCTGCTCATCTGTCACTTCCTCCTTCCTTTTTCCAGTGCGCACAGCCCCCCTTTCTGAATGCGCATAACACGATGGGCTCATTCGAAGAGTCCCAGGCCCGCTATGGCACCCGTCGGTGGATAGGTACACATCAGCGAACTGGACAAGGATGGGTGGGAGGGGTAGGATGTTAGAGATGGCGCGAGCGCACCTATCGTATCCTCTGCCCTCTCCTGTCTTTCTCGGATCCTTCTCCGCCTTCTGTTCCTCCTCCTCCTCACCTCCTTCAGAAGCCTTCCTCTCTGCTTCCTTCGTAACCAGTTTGGCCCAACTCCCTCTGCGCTCCTGCGCGCGCGCGCTCCAGGGGGCGCAATTTGCGTGCGGCCACTATGCGAGAGTGTCCGAGACTCGTTCTTCATGAACAAGGGCTAGACTCACGCACGGCTGCGGGAGCTGGACGGCATGCGTGTTGGAGCCAATGCCTTCAGGAGGTGCCGTGGGGCTTCCCCAGCAGAGATCGCTGGCGCCCTGGCTCTGTCCGCATCGTGAGGTCCGTGCTGTGCGAGGCTGGGCTCGCGCGGGCGGGAGCTAGATGGCATGCGTGCTGGAGCAAAGGCCTTCAGGAGGTGCCGTCGGGCTTCCCAATGAACGTGGTTCGCCTTAAAAGCGCCCTGGGCGTCTTGTGTTTGCGTCTTCTACATTGGGCTCTTGACAGGCTGACGACGCGAAACAAACGCTACGTTTGTTTCGTGTGTTTAGGGCTGTTTTGTTGGGCGTTGTTTTGGCGTTTTCAGGCTGAACGCGCTAACACAAACATCTGAAAACGCTAACACAAGGCATCATGGTGTGTAGAGTTTTTAGGTGTTGTTGCTGAGACCCGAAAGCGCAAAACACACGATTTCCAAGACGCCGAGCTGCAAACGCTAAAACAACGCCCTGGGCATATTTAAGGCGAGCCAAGCCAATGAAGATCGCTGGCGCTCTGGTTCTGTCCGGGTCCCGCGGCCCGTGCCGTGCGAGGCTGGGCTCGCGCGGTGCGCCGCGCTGCGCGCGGCATCGGCCGCGTCGGCTTCGGGACCTCGGCTTCCCGTCGAGGGGCGCCTCCGAAGGACCCGCGAAGCACCCGCGGGACCTCGGCTTCCCGTCGAAGGGCGCCTCGATAAGAAACCCTTAGATGAGGAACCCAGGGTCTAGAGACCAGGGGAACTTCAATCGAGGCTTGGCCATGGATAGTACCGCCGCCCTCATCAGATAAGGAACCCTCCTCCAGGGTCTGGCGCCTCCTGGGACTATTCCTCAACACACGTCTCCGCCGAACTTGAGTACACGTCGTGCATTTCTAATCGTGCTCATTTCTAACTGTGCTCGTTTCTAAGTGTTCCTGGCCCCCTGGTGGCCAGGGAGAGGCCCAGGATAGAACAGCTAGCAATGAAAGGAGTGTGCCCCCCAAAAAATCAAAGAGTTTTCGAAGAATTAGAATCGGCGGTGGAGAAACCTCTCTTTAGTAAACCTCCCTTTAGTGAAAACGGCCTGGGACCGAAACCGACGGACCTAGAGCCGCAACAATGACGGCCGCGACGCCCTCTCGAGAACCGAAAACGGCGAATTCCTCAATCGACGTGCCAGGGTAGGAGGTCTGTCCACCCCCGATAGAAATCGACAACGTGTAGTGGGAACAACACGTTTTCCAACACGTCGGGTCTGCACAGAAGCTCTGCGTGGCGACGCCCCCGCCGACACGCGCGCCCTCTGCGCGCCTGCCTGGGGGGGGGGGCCGCCACGCCGAGCCTCCGAGGGCAAAACGTTCACATTCGGCGAGAGGCGGGTGGTGCCAGGAGGAGGAGGAGGAGGAGGACGAGGAGGAGGAGGAGGAGGAGGAGGAGGAGGAGGCGGATGAAGGAGGAGGGTGAGGTAGGAGGGAGGAGGAGGGGGGGGGCCTGGGGAGGAGGGGGAGGGGAGGGAGGAAGGGGAAGGGAGGAGGAGGAGGAGGAGGAGGAGGGGAAGGAGGAGATGGAAGAGGAGGGAGGGGGAGGGAGGAGGAGGAGGAGGAGGAGGAGGAGGAGGGCGAGGAGGGGAGGAGGAGGAGAATCTGGAAAGGGGAGGAGGAGGAGGAGGAGGGAGGAGGAGGAGGAGAAGGAGGGAGGAGGAGGAGGAGGAGGAGGAGGAGGAGGGGGAGGAGGGGGAGGAGGAGGGGGAGGAGGAGGGCACACCAATGACGGATCGCTGCTCGTGGAGGGCTCCTCGCATGGCGTGCCCGGTGCGGAGGGGCGGGGCCTCCCCCTGCCTCGCAGGGCAGGCTCGCGCGGCGGGCCCGGCGGCTGGGCCGTCTGGGGCCTGGCGCGGGGCCTGACGTCCCCCTGTTGGCGCCCCCGTGCGCGAGGGAGCTCCTGGCCCTCCGCTGCGCTCGGAGTGGCTGGTCCTCGGGGGGGGGGGGCAGGGACCTCACTTTTTTTCCGTCGGCGACGAGGCCTGGACCTCCGCTGCGCGAGGGAGCTCCTGGCTCTCCGGGGGGGGGGGCGGGGACCTCACTTGTTTTCCGTCGGCGGCGAGGCAGAGGCAGTTCGCTCCAGCGTCGTGGCCGTGCGGGGCAGCCGAGAAGGCGAAGCGACCGAGGGCGGGAACCTTTACCAAGGCGTCTAAGATTCCTCCCCCCTTTCCGTCCTTCGTCTCCCTCGCGCGCTGAAGACGAAGCCAGGACCGGGACAACAGCGAACGAGGATAACTCGGAGATCTTTGAGACCCCGCGGTGCTGGAGGCTGTATCGAACGCCGCGGCTGTCCCAGAGCGCTCCGAAAGGTTCTGAGAGCGCTTTTCGGGGCTGTCTTGGGCACTCTTGGGCTGTCATTGGCTCTCCTGGCCCTCGTGGGCATCGGAAGAAGTGCGGCCACGTGTGCATCCAGCTCCGTCCTCACCCGACCTCTGGCAGACTTGCCTGATCCCTCGGGTCTTCTGGGACGCTCTTAAAGATGCCCTCTTTTTTTCAGGAACATAAAGAAACAGGAGAGCCCAGAATGGAATCGATAAGTCGGATCGGTGATCGAAATTAATCGGATCGGCGGCAATCGGCAGCCAAAATGGGAGACGTCGAATCGGCGGAACTCGGCAGGCTGTATGCCTCCACGGAACAATCGGCGTCCGAACCGGAATCACGAATCGAATCGAATCGGAATCGGCAACCATCGAAATCGAATCGAACCGGAGGAATCGAACCGAACCCTGGCAAAAAGGAATCGGCCGCTCCGTCCTCCCTGGACGGTGCTCAGGAACGCTCGGGACCGACCCATCCCGGTCCTTGGCCTGCCTGGTCGCTCCCTCCCTCCCGCCATCCCTCGCCCCCGTTTCCCCTCCCCCTCCCGCCCTCCCCTCTCCCCCCCCCCCGATCCCCTCGATAGTACTCGCTCCCTCCCTCCCTCCCCTCTCCCCCCCCTGGATAGTCTTCGCTCCCTCCTCCCCTCCTTCCCCAGGGCTCCGGCGCCACGCGTATCCGTATCTCGCTGGTTTCTCTTATGGGTTGTTTTGTTCTCTCGAAGCGTGGGCTCACGGAGTAAAAACCCCTTCCTCCGGACCAGATTTTCCTCCTGAGCTATCTTCTGGCGGCCCCGAGGCCTGGCAAGTATCCCTTGAAAGCCAAACATAGCGAAACACTGCCCGTCGTGCTTTGTTCACGACGCGGGGGGGGGGTTCTGGGTCCCCTCCCTCCCACCACTTGACGCGCTTTGCGAGGGAGGAACCCCAGGGAAACGGATTTTTGAGACGGGCGAAATCGATATCTCAAGTCTGCCCGACTTCGCACACCAGGGAGCAGAGTGGACGGGGGGAGGAAGAGAACGGCTCGGCAGAGGGGAACGAGGATGAGTATGAAGAGGGGGAGAATAGGATAACGATGTTGATGCTGATGATGATGATGCTGCTGCTGACGATGAGGAGGACGAGGAGGAGGAAGAGGAGGAATAATAAGAGGATGATGATGCTGCTGATGGTGATGATGACAATGCTGTTTCTACGGATGGTACTGATGATGCTGCCGATGATGAAGATGGCGGTGGTGATGAGAATGCTTATGATTATGCTTATGATGGTGATCTGCTGATGATGATGATGGTGATGGTGGTGATGATGCTGATGATGATGACGATGACGACGATGCTGATAATGCTGATGATGCTGCGGATGCTGCTGCTGATGATGGTGGTGATGATGCTGCTGCTGCTGATGATGATGCCGACGATGATGATATAAACGATGATAGTGATGATGCTGCTGCTGCTGATGATGATGATGATTGCCCGCGTGCCCCGGTGGAAGTGAGAAGGGGCGGGCCTTCCCAGAAGGCTCTGAAGTCCTTCGGCCTGCTGAAGACACGAGGGCTTCTGAGACGTCCCGTCACCTTTTGAGAGGGTTTCCCCCTTCTAACCTCCCCGCCTCGTTCGCCGCCGAGAGGACGAGGAGGAGGAGGAGGAGGAGGAGGAGGAAGAAGAGAAGGAGGAGGAGGTGGAAGAGGAGGAGGAGGAGGAGGAGAATGAGGAGGCGAAGGATGATGAGGAGGAGGAGGAGAAGGAGGAGGTGAAGACGGGGAGGAAACACAAAACCTCTCCTCTCCCCTCACCTCCCCGGTAAGGGCTCGTGCGGGCCAACAGCCCCGCGGGGAGCCTCGCGGCACAGGCGCAGCGCCGCGGGCTCGTCCTCGGCAAAGTGGTCCGCGACCCCGGACCTGCCCCCGGAGGCCAGGGGGGGGGAGCGGGGGGGGCGCCTCCGAGTCCTCCTCCCCTTCCTCCACCTCCCAGTCCTCCTCCTCCCAGTCCTCCCCGTCCCCCCTGCCCTCCTCCTCCTCACCTCCTCCTCCTCCTCCTCTCCTCCTCCTCCTACCCCTCCTCCTCTTCCATCTCTCCATCCCCTCCTCCTCCTCCTTCCTCCTCTCCTCCTCTTCCTGACGACGACCACCCCCTTCTGGGGAGGAACGACGGGGTGGGTGTGCAAGCAACTGCGGAGGGGGGCCTCCCCTCCATCTCCTCCTCCTCCTCCTCCTCCTGCGCCTGCTCTCCTCCTCCTCCTCCTCCTCCTTCTTCCTCCTACTCCTACTCCTCCCCCTCTCCATCTCCTCCTCCTCCTCTACTCCTCTCCTCCTCCTCCTCCTCCTCTTCCTCTCCTCCTTCTCCTCTTCCTCCTCCCTCCTCCTCTCCTCCCTCCCTCCCTCCCTCCCTCCTCCCTCCCTCCCTCCCTCCCTCCTCCCGTCCCTCCTCTCCCTCCTCCCTCCTCCCTCTTCCGCCTTCTTTCTCCCTCTTCCTCCCTCCTTCCTCCTCCATCCATCCCCTCCCCTCCTCCTCCTCCTCCTCCTCCTCCTCCTCCTTTTCCTGTTCCTTCTCCTTCTCCCCCTCCTTCTCCGCCTCCTCCTCCTTCTCCTCCTCCTCCTCCTCCTCCTCCTCCTCCTCTTCCTCCTCCTCCATCCCTTTTCCTTATAGGCGTTGGCCAACGTGGGCACCAACCAGGACGGCGGATGTGTAAGCTAGGTGGTGCAATCTGCGTGGTGCAAGCTATGTGGCGGCAGCTGGGTGGTGCAAGCTCTGTGGTGCAGCCTCGACGGACCCCCAGAGAGCGGTAGGCAACAACGGGGCGGCAACGGGCTGCGACGCGGCGCAATCGCGACGGAGCCCAGACCCCTAGTGGGCGGCAGCGGGGCGGCAACGGGCGGCGACGCGGCGCAACCTCGGCTGTCCCGTAACATGGGCGGCAAAAGGGCGGCGATGCGGCGAAGCCCCGACGGACCCGGAAAATGGGCGGCAACGAGGCGGCAACGGATGACGAATCGGCGAAACGCCGACGGACCCATCAACATGGACGGCAACGAGGCAGCAACGGGCGGCGACGCGGCGAAACCTCGACGGATCCCCCCAAGCTGGCGGCAACGAGGCGGCAACGGGCGGCGACGCGGCGAATCTTCGACGGATCCCCCAAGTTGGCGGCATCGGGGCGGCAACGGGCGGCGACGCGGCAACGGGGCGGCGACGGGTGGCGAGCGGCGAAACCCCGACGGAATACCGCGCATTGGCGGCAAGGAGGCGACTAGGAGGCGGCAGCGGACGGCGACGCGGCGTAGGTGGTTGAACAAACTTTGTCTGCTCTCTGCCACAGCCCCTCCTTCCCCTGCTCGGGGGAGGCGTTTACCCCTCCCCCTCTCCCCCCTCACCTGGGCCTGGGAGGAGGGGTCGTTAGAGCGCCCAAGATGGCCCGATATGGCTTCATGAGGGCCTCAGGGAAGCCACGATGGCCGCCACGATGGCTCAATCTACACCCAAGATGGATAAATATAGCCTCCGACACTCATCCCAAAGGCCTCAAGGCGGCCCCAAGGCGGCTGCCAAGTGCCCTCCGAACCCTCCAAGGACCCACTCCAAGTGGCCACACTCTTTCAACAACCAAGGGACACAACAATACGGTTCGCCTTCTCGCCCTTTCGCTTCCGAGGCTCCCAGATGGCCCCACTGCAGCGCCCAATAGGACCCCAAGGGGGGCTCAAGAGGGCCCCACGAACGCCCAGGAGCGCTCCACGAGCGCACCAAGAGGGCACGAAGGCATCATGTTTGAGCCTCCGATGAGGGGGCTGAATTCTCCCCCCCCCTCCCCCCTTGAGTCATGGCCAGACTCCTCCAAGGAGCCCCAATGGGGCCCCAAGACCCCCGCAATGAACCCCCTGTGGGGCCCCAAGAGACCCCACAGGGGGCCCGAGAGATACTCTAAGCTCAGAGTGGCCTCCGACAGCCTCTGGCCGAGCATGGCTCTAGGCAGCCTCCAAGAGGCCCCAAGAAAGCCTCCGATCGTCTGGGTGGGCAGGTGGGGACACTTGTCCGAACACTAGCCGGGCCGCGACTAGGCAGCAAGAAAAGAGAGGCCAGCGAAACGAGCGCGCGGGCAACCACTCAAAAGAAGAGCCATCAACGAAACTCCCAACCCGGTGAAGTGGAGATCCCGGTGGCGACCAGCAAGTAAGCGCAGCCAAAATGGCGCGGCGGCGAAACCATAAACACGCAGAGGTCAATCACTCGGTGTGAGTCGGCACAAGGCACAGTCAGAGACGAGCAGGACCGACAAGCACACCGGACGACGTCCGTGCCGTAGGCGACACAACTGCATCGTGTCAGCGCAAGAGTGAAGAGGGGCAACCTCGTCACAGATAGGACTGCAAACGGCAGTACCTCTTGTTTGCACAGCAATGGCACATGTCGAGAGCGAAACCCTTGCAGGAGAAAGCAGCCGACGGGCGCACCGAGCCACACATGCCGAAGTCCAAGCGCCGTGGAGGTCGGCAGCGCGCGAGACCCCACTGCACCCTTTCGGTCACCAGTGGAAGCCGACACCAACCAGGAACGGGCCAGGGGCCACCTGACCGCCCATTCCCAGTGTGATCCACGCATGGAATTCGTAGCGAGACCCCACTGAACCCATCGGTCACCAGTGGAGGCCGACACCAGCCAGGAGCAGGCCAGGGGCCACCTGATCGCCCATTCCCAGTGTGATCCTTGCATGGAATTCAGACTGACAGAGCACCACCAGACAGCAATATTGGCGGCAACCCCAGCCGCGCGGGATAAACCCACTGAAACAAAGGAGAGGAGGGGAAGTACACGCCAAGCACGGTAGGCGCTTCGGTGTGGCAGCTAACCGCTGCAGCATTAGGACGCAGGAGGGGAGGGAAGGGACGCGCGGAAGGAAGGGAAGTGCACGTCAGGCACGGTAGGCACCCCGGCGTGGCAGCTAACCGCTGCAGCATTAGGATACAGGAGGGGAGGGAAGGAAGTGCACGCCAGGCACACAGGCACAAGGAAGCAGGAGGAGAGGAAGGGCAGTGCACGCCAGGCACGGAAGGCACCCTGTTGCGGCAGCTAGCCGCCGCAGCGTTAGGATGCAGGAGGGGAGGGGAGGAAGTGCAGGCCAGGCGCACGGTGGGAGAGGAGGGAAGAAGAAATTTACACTCGAGCTGTTGATCCCGACAAGGACAAACACGGTGGGCTGCCAGTCCACATGCCCAGTGTGTCGTTCAAACCGCATCTCAGCGAAACTGTGTGGTGCCCCGCGCTCGGTGATACTGTCGAGCCGTTGCACGGTCCATGGGCGATCGGTTGCTCGGCTCCTCCTCCCAGCCGTGCCCAGAGCACTCCCAACCTACTGCGCGCGGCCAGTGCCGGCGCCCACGAGGTCCCGACCATCTCGCGGGGGTGCCTGGCGCCCCCTGTTCGCGCCGACGAGATGTCCCAGGTGTTGCCCACGCACCTGCGCACAGTCGATGCCCAGGCCCAATGAGTCGTCCATGGCCCGAACATCGCAGCTGTGGCTGTGAAGTGAAGTCAGGAAGGCGACGCAAGTTCGCTGGTCGCGCTGGTCGTGCTGACGCGGGTCGAAACCGCGCGTGGTGCAAGGGGCAGCGTGTTGCACGGCAAAGGCGTGCCAGGCGTTTGTGAATGACGCACCCAGGGTGACCTGAAGGTACCTGATACTCTCGTTCGGTGACACTCCGTGGGGTTCCCACTGGGAACCGTGGGCCCGGGCTCTATGAAGCGGCCTTCCAGGTGTGGGAGTCCCGTGGTCCTCCGTCAAAGATGCCCCCCGGTTGGGCTGCCGGCCCGTCGCGGCGGTCGAGCTCACGCCCGCCCGAGCGGGGGGAGTCTGGCGCGCTATGTAGGGATGCAGGGGTTGCCCCGTGGCTGCTGGTAGCGGCGCCCGCCCGCATCGAGTCGCCGACAGGGGAAGGAGGACGAACAGGGGCGAAAGGGCTCTTCGAAGCCAGCTGCAGGATGGCTTCGTTGTCCCTCTCGTCGGGGAAAGGCTGCTCGATGGTCTCCTCGATGGTCTCCTCCCCATAGGTGGGGCCCCTTTCCTCCTGCGACCCGCGACTATCTTCACGCTCTTCCCGGTGGAGACGACTGACCGTCGCAGAGCCTGTTGGAATCCGGGGCGGCCGGGTGTTCCCAGGGGTCGTGTTGCCAGTGGGTTGTGTTGGACGGTCGGCAGGGTCCTCTCCGTCTTCTCCCTAGCCCTTCTCCGGCGGCTCGCGACCCATTTCGCACTCTTACCGGTGTAGGTGACTAACCATCGCAGAGCCCTTTGGAATCCGAGGCGGCTGGGTGTTCCCAGGGGTCGTGTTGCCAGTAGGTTGGGTCGGACGGTCAGCAAGGTTCCATCGGTCTTCTCCCTGCCCCTCACACTGCGAGTCGCGACTATCTCCACACTCTTCCTGGTGGAGGCGACTGGCCGTCGCAGTACCTATTGGAATCCGGGGCGGCTGGGTGTTCCCAGGGGTCGTGTTGCCACTAGGTTGTGTTGGACGGTCGGCAGGGTCTTCTCTGTGTCTTCCTGCCCCTTCTCCTGTGGCTCGCAGCCCATTTCGCAATCTTCCCGGTGTAGATGAACGGGCATCGCAGAGTCTGTTGGGATCCGAGGCGGCTGGGTGTTCCCAGGGATAATGTTGCCAGCGGGCTGTGTTGGACGGAAGGCAAGGTCCTCTCTGCTCCCTGCCCCTCACCCTGCGACTCGCGACTGCCATCGCATTCTCCCCTGGTGGCGGCGACTGACCGTCGCGGAATCCGTTGGAATCCGAGGCGGTTGGGTGTGCCAAAAGGTCGCGTTGCCAAAGGGTTGTGTTGGACGGTCGGCAAGGTCCTCCCTGACTTCTTCCTGCTCCTCCTCCTGCGATTCGCGACTATCTGCGCGCTCTTCCCGGTGGGGGCGACCCATTTCGCAATCTTCCCGGTGTAGGCGACTAGCCGTCGCATCTCGAGGAATCATGGGCAGGGAGGGAGGAGAAAAGTTAGTCTCAGGGGAAACGGCGAGCGTAGGCGGGGTGTTAGCCCACCCGTCGGTGCGCTGGGTCTGCGTCGTGGTCATGCCGCCAGGCAGCTTTGTTGGACAGCCGCGCAAGCCAGGCTGGCCGTGGGGCTGGCCGTTGGGCTGGCCGTCGGACTGGCCGTGGGGTTGGCAGTCGGGCTGGCCGCGGGGCTGGCGGTCGGGCTGGCCGTCGGGCCGGCCGTGGGGCTGGCAGTCGGGTTGGCCGTGGGGCAAGCCGTGGGGCCGGCAGTCGGGCTGGCCGTAGGGCTGGCCGCGGGGCTGGCTGGGGGGCAGGCCGCCGGGCTGGCCGCGGTGGCCGCGCTCCGCCGCGGCGGCGCCGGCCACCGCACCCTCCGCCGCCGCCGCCGCCGCCGGCGAGGAGCCAGCAGCGGCAGCGGCAGCAGCAGCAGCAGCGGCAGCCGCGACAGCGGCCGTGGCGCCGGCCACGGCGCCGCCGGCCGCCGCCTCCGCCGCGTCGGGCTGGCAGTGGGGCTGGCCGTGGGGCAGGCCTCCCCCCCTCCCCGCCCACCCTCCGCGCTTCGGCGAGCCCTCCTTGCACCGGACAGCCTTTCTTTGTTGCCGCTGGCGCGCGCACGAACCCATTGTGCGAATGCGCCATTTTTTTTGACGCCCGGGCGCAAGCACTCGGGTCCACAGCCTGCCTTTCTTCAACAGGGCATGCGTGCAACAGGGCTGCACCTAAACGGATGTTTTCCGTTTTCGTTTTGTGTTCGTTTTCCCTCGCTGTTGTCTTAGTCCGCCCCTCACGCAAGACGAAGTCGAAACGAGAACGGCCCATGGAGTCCCCAAAACACCGTTTGGGCCCAGCCCTCAGTCCACAGCCTGCCTTCTTCAACAGGGCATGTGTCGGGCCGGGCGAAAGGGGGGGATAGCAAAGGGGGGGGTTGAGAATCAGCTCACGTAGCTGATTTTCCCAGCGCCTCCCGGCGCCGGGAGGCGCCCATGTATCGAGGAATCGGCCCGGCGGCGGGGCCGAAACTGGCTGCATGCAGCAGATTTCGTAACCCCCCCTTTCCCAATCCTCCCATTTCGTTCGGCCCGAATGTGTGCAGTGTGATTGGATGGCCTGCGCCCCATCCGATCACCCGCTACGCTACGGTGGCGTCACCCGGCCGGCGGCGGAGCAACGAGTGCGAGCGTGCGCCAGGAGTGGGCGCGGTGGCGCCTCCTGGAGAGGCTCCTCTGCGTGGCCCCCTCCCTCCTTGCGGAAGCCGTAACGGTGGAGGGGGGGAGGAGGAGGGTGGCAGAGAGGGAAGGAGAGAGAGAGAGAGATAGGACATGTGATACAAATACATGTGTATACACATATATATATACACATGTATACATATATATATATGTATATATATATATGTGTACAGACTCGCGCGCGAAAACATATATACTATATATGGAGAGAGGGAGCGGGAGAGAGATAGAGAGAGAGAGAGAGAGCCAAAACAAAAGAAAACACACAAAGAGAGAGAGAGAGAGAGAGAGGTAGACTAACAGAGAAGGAGCGATAGGGAGGGAGAAAAAGAGAGAGAGAGAGAGAGAAACAACAACAAAAAGTAAGCGGCGCGTGATAAACGGCCAAATCATCGCGCCCCCAGGAAGGCAATGCCGACCTTGGGGTCTGTGTGGGATAGGGCCGCTGGAAGGCCAGCGAACGCTGGTGCCGCGGCTGCCCTCCCGCCCCGCTTGGCCGCCCACGAACCTCGGCACCGTGCAACAGCAGACGCATGCGGGGATGAGGATAGGAAGGGCGGGTGGGTGGAGAGATTCTGTGGGAGGGGCAGTGCAAGGCACGGAAGGGAGGAGGTACCCGTGCCAGCAGAGCGGGGCGCATCTGCCCCCCCCCCCCGCCCCGCACTTCGAGGTGTGTACGTCGGCGCCGCCGAGCTCCTGGGGTGGGTGGGGAGTGGGGGAAACGAGGGGGCATAGGGGTGGGTATGTGGCAGGGGGCGCGTGCGAAACAGCTGTCGCCTGCATCGCAAGTCTGGGGCAGAAGGCAACAAATACTGCTCGAGACGGCAAGGAAGCTGGCAAACAAGTGGAAACGTAACCTCGCACAGGAGGAAACTTCTGTCACAGAGCACAAAGACATGACCGAGGCTGCCTCCAACAACTGGCCAAAATGGTAGACATGAAGTGCTTTGTAGACATGAGCTCCAACAACTACCGCGCACGCCCACCCGCCCTGCCCCCAGATGGCCCGCTCCGGAGATTTTACCCAAGGGACATCGACATCTCTTGGGGGCGCGTGTTTACTTCCGCCGGCGGAGCCGCCCCAGTTCCTCTTTCGCCGTCACCGCCAGGGCCGAGATGTCAACCACCTCGACCCCTCCAAGGCGAGGCCCTTTCAGGAACGCCCCCACGCAAGCGGCACCCGGTGCCCGCCATAGGCAGCGGCCGCCATCCGAAGGACAGCCGTTGGGAACCAACGTGGGCGCCAACTGCGCCGCGCTCGCGTGAGTGCGCCACGCGCGCTGGGTGCACCTGGTGAACCTAGGTGCCACAAGCGCCTGCACTGTGGCAGGCGCCTGCAGTGCACCGCGAGTGTGCCGCGTTCTCCAGGCGCGCGCCCCGCGTGCACGCGGCAGCGCGGGCCCACGACTGCGGGCCACCCGAGCGGGGAAGGGTGTGTGTGTGTGTGTTGATGGAGGAATGGTGGCATGGTGGGGAGAGGGAGGAGGGACATGAGCTTGCGAGAGCGCAGAGGTGCGAAGAGGATGGGGAGGGTAGGTTTGTGGGGCAGGGAGGTGGAATGGTTGAAGGGTGCATGGGTGGAGGCGGGAAAGACCTGGACGGAGATGAGGGCGGCTGAGGCAGCGAGGACCGTGGGGGGGAGGTCGAATGGTGCCCTGGGCCCTCTTCCTCCTCCTCCTCCTCCTCCTCCTCTTCCTCCTCCTCCTCGAGCGCCGAACGAGTCTACGAGTCTGTACGCCGCACGCCAGCGCACACCTACCCCAACTGATCAGCAGGAAGAGCGCGACGCAAATGTAGTCTCCAGCTCTGGTCCTGGGCCCTTGTCCTGCAGTCGGGGCGTTGACCTAAGGAACCCTAAATAAGGAACGAGACCCCTTCTGTCCATAAGTTAACCTTCGATTTCCGGTCGAAGACATAAGGAAAGCCTGAGGCAAGCTGTGAAACACTTAAGGAACGCCGAGCCCCTCCCCAACGAAAAGGGTTCCTTCTTCAGGGCCCCGACTGTATTTCTCGCCGTCCGCCGCCCCATGCTTCTGCTGGCCCAGCGCCTGCCAGACGCGCCCCGCGTGGCACGCTGCAGTGCGGCAAGCCTGGCAGGAGCCCTCGGTGGCTTCCTGAGGCCGGCCTGGCTGGGCCGCCAGTGCGCGTTCTGGTCCGGTCTCTCCCCCCATACTTTCCCTTCCCTCCCTCCTTCTCCTCGTCGTCGTCGTCGTCCTCCTCCTCCTCCTCCTTCTCCTCCTCCTCCTCCTCCTCGTCCTCCGCCTCCCCCTCTCCCGTGCACAGTACCGCAAAGGTGACTGAATATATGAATACTACTCTCCTCTCTTCTCCGACTACGTCCTGGAACTACCCCGCCCTCTCCGTGTATGTCTTTACCACGCAGAGGATTTCATGATTTGACATGTCCTCTCTTTTTTCAAAACGGAGCCTTTCCGGCGTTTCAACAGGGTGCTCCCGCACCAGCGTGGGCCTGATGGTTCGGCTCGGCGATCTGCCCCCGTCGTTGAGCATTGCGCTCTCGCCCCACCGCGGGCCGCCTCTCTGGGTCCGAGCTCTTTCTCATCGTTGCCGCCCCGCCCCTTTCCCCCTCCCCCGCCTTGCCCTGGTGATTCTGCTCCTCACGATCTTCCCACTCCAGCTCCTGCTGCTGCTATTCCTCCCCGTTGTCCTCCTTCCTATTCCACTTCCGCCTGTTTCCCTGCTCATCATCCTGTTCATCAGCCGCCTCCTCCTCCATTGTACGCGGATCCCCTTGTCTTCCTGCTCATAACATGATGGGATCCTGTTGGGGGGGGGTCCAGGTCCGCTATTACACCCGTCGGCATATAGAAACAACACCGGCGCAGTGGGAAGGGATGGGTGGGGGGGGTAGGATGTCAGACATGGCGTGCGCATCTAGGTGACTCCCCCTCCCTTCTCCCCCTGCTCGGGCACGGTCACACTCGAGGCAGAATATTGTATTTGGACAAGGCCAGCGGTGTTTCTGAGAGGCCTTCCAACATTTCGTCGTTTTGTGAAGTGGTTACCTTGGCATTGAGTGGTACACCAAGAGGTACACCAGGCCACTGATCCCACTAATGAGGGTAAGGCACCTCAGAGCCATATCGCTTCAAGTCCTCCCCCCCCTCCCACTCACTCCGTCCCTCCCTCCCTCCCTCCCTCCCCGCCTCCTCTCTTCTCCCCCTTCTCTCTCTCAACTCCCTCCTTCCTCCCTTCTCCCCATCCTTCTCCCTCTCCCGTCCCCCATTCCTCCCTTAACCCTCCCCCCTCCCTCAACCATCGTCCCCCCTCCCTCTGCCCACCTCCTCGACTTGGAATGCCCAGAATCAGTTCAACGGATGCATGCTAGCCACTTTGACAGGTCTTGCGTTTCTCATCAAATTCTTGACGAGAGGGGTCTAGACTTAGGTCAAGCATGTCCTCCAACATGCAGATTCTGGACGACAAATGACAACTAATGAAATAGTATTCAACAATAGTTGAACATAGTCGAAACATCGCCCCCATACTAGACTGAAGTCTAAACTTCACCCCCCTCTTGGTCCCCATGGGTTGGATGGTGGCCCCACTGCTTTATTAACCAACCACGGGTCATCTGAGCGATCCTGCTCATCCCTCCTGCCTCCCACCCCCTCCTGCCCATTCCCTCCTCCTTGCCATCCTCCCTCTTCCCTCCTCCCTCCTCCCATCCTCCTCCTCGTCCGCCTCCTCCTCCTCCTCCTCCTCCTCCTCCTCGTCCGCCTCCTCCTCCTCCTCCTTCTCCTCCTCCTCCTTCCTCCTCCCATCCTCCTCCTCGTCCGCCTCCTCCGCCTCCTCCTCCTCCTCCTCCTCCACCTCCTGCTCCTCCTCCTCCGCCTCCTCCCTTCTCCTCCTCCTCTCCTCCTCCTCTTCCTCAATCCTCCGCCTCCTCCGCCTCCTCCTCCTCCTCCTCCTCCCTCCTCCTCCCTCCCCCCAACCCCGTGTCTCCTCGGCGGACACCTCCTCCTTGCCATCCTTCCCATTCCCTCCTCCTTGCCATCCTCCCTCTTCCCTCCTCCCTCCTCCCATCCTCCTCCTCGTCCGCCTCCTCCTGCTCCTTCTCCTCCTCCTCCTCCTTCCTCCTCCTCCTCCTCCCTCCTCCCATCCTCCTCCTCGTCCGCCTCCTCCGCCTTCTCCTCCTCCTCCTCCCCCTTCTGCTCCTCCTCCTCGTCCGCCTCCTCCGCCTCCTCCTCCTCCTCCTCCGTCCTCCGCCTCCTCCGCCTCCTCCTCCTCCTCCCTCCTCCCTCCCCCCAACCCCGTGTCTCCTCGGCGGACACCTCCTCGCCCGTCGACGCCTCCGGGGCGTGCGAGGACGGAGCGCCGCCGCGCGCGATCGGAGCTGCAGGGGGCGAGTCCAGGGAGGAGAGACAGGGGAGCGGCAGGGAGGAGGACCGGGGGCGGGGAGGGAGGGGCAGGGAGGTGGCGGAGGGGAAAGGGGCCGGGAGGGAGGAAGGGAGGGAAAGAGGGGATGAAGGCAAGCTAGGTGCGCTCGCGTCATATCTGACGTCCTACCCCTCCCTCCCATCCCTTATCATGGCGCTGATTTTCTCTATCCGCGGACGCGTGTCGTAGCGGACCTGTGGCTCCGCGCGCGCGTGCGTAGTGGGTGGTGGTGCACGTGCGTGCGTGCGTGCGTGTGTGCGTGGTTGTCGTGGTGGTGGTGGTGGTGGTGGTGGTGGTGGTGTAGTGGTGGGTGGTGTGGTGGTGGTGGTGGTGGTGGTGGTGGTGGTGGTGTGTTGTGGTTGTGGTGGTTTCGGTGCTGGTGGTGGTGGGTGGTGGGTGGTGGGTGGTGGTGTTGGTACTGGTGCTGGTGCTGGTTATGGTTGTGGTGGTGGTGGTGGTGGTGGTGGTGGTGCCGGTGCGGCGCGGTGGTGGCGGGCGGATGGGCGCGCGAGAAAAAGGCCCGCGCTGGGGCGAGAACGCCATCCTGGACGACGGAGGCCAAACACCGATCCGAAAATGAGGCCCACGCTGCAGCGGGAGCACGATTCGGAACGATTCGGGAGCAGAAATGAGGCCGGCGCCTCAACGAGAGCAGCATTTTGGGAAAAAATGACGCCGGCGCCTCAGCGAGAGTCGTTTCCCGGGATTTCCCGGGCATCCTGTGTGTAAAAAACAATACGCGGAGGGTGCGCGGCCATCACCCGGACGCCATCAGGGGAAGAGGGAGAGTATATTCATATCGAGTAATTGTACAGGAAAGGAAGGGGAGGGAGGAGGGCCAGGGAAGAGGGAGGGGAAGGCGGAGGTGGAGGGACGACAGGAGCAGCAGGACAAGCACGTGGGGAAAGAAGGAAGAAGAACGAACTAACGAACGACCACAACTGCGGACAACCGTCCGGTCATAGCCAAGACCAGATGGGTAGGAAGAGGAGGAGGAGGCGGAGGCGGCGGTGGAGGAGGACCAGCGTAAGCCCAAGACGCATCAACGATGTTGAAATAAACCCTCCCTCAAAATTCCCTCTTCACAGACCCCTGCAATCATCTATTTTTCGTTGCGGGGAATGCCCCGTTGGAAGACAACCGTTTGAGATCCCTCAATCATACCAAAACGCCGCTCGTGGGACTGCAACACCGCGAACCAACGTGACCGTTGCGTCGTGCAAAAACTTAGTCGCGCCAGAACACCATTCCTGGGATTTCAACACCGCGACTACACGTTACTTTTGCGTCTCGGCGACCCTAAGAAATGCAGAACGCACGAGTCCTTGAATTTGTTGCAAGCATTTCAAAACGAATGTGCGCGGCGCTATGGCGAGACCCACATGTTGAAAAGGAAACGACCTCCGTCCTTGAAGCGGTTGCAGGGTCCGACCAGCCCTTTAGGGCGTGAGTGTTTTCGCGTGTTTCTTCTTTCAGGGGAACGTAAGACCTGGGTACAGGTGACTCGAAAATCCCCGACGAGGTCGTCAAAAAAATGACGAGGCCGAGCCTGCATTTTGACGAGGCCTCCCGCTGCAGACATCCCACGAAACTCCTCCTCGTCAAAATCCGAGGCGCGGTCGTCAAAAAACGATGGCGAACCCGAGTCCTGGCAAACCCGGGTCTTACGCTCCCCCGATCCTTGAAGCGGTTGCAGGGTCCCACCAGCCCTTTAGGGCGTGAGTGGTTTCGCGTGTTTCTTCTTCCACCCCCCAGGCGTCCGACGGAACTAGAACCAATGAGATGCCCCCCACGCCATCCAGAGCGTGAATTACCTCCCCCGCTTTCGCTTCCAGGCAAAACCAAGCCATACCACGCGCCTCCTCGTCAAGCGGCCTGACCAGTACAGGCCGCAATTTGGCACCGTTTGGTATCTCTTGGAAGCGAGGGTGGTCAAAAGCGAGGGAGGTTTGTTTTCCCCCGAACCATCCCTGTCAAGAACCAATGTGAAGTGCATTGAGGGGCAAAATCTTAAGTCATGACTGGGGGGACCGCGAGACATGTGCATTGTGTGTTGACAAGGACGGCGGGGGGGGGGGCCCGCATATGGCCTGCTGCGCGCCGAGCCAGCAACCCTTTCAGACATAATGCAAAAATAAACTTCAACAATGCACAGTGTGGATCATGCGCGGGCACTCCGCGATCACTGCGCATTGGTTTTTGACTTGGACGGCGGGAGTGCTGGCACATTGCCTGCTATGTGCAGGCCCACCAGCTGTTTGGATGGCCTCCACGCCGCGACTGCGTACTGATTTTCGACAAGGGTGGTGTGGGCCGACACGTTTCCCGATGTGCACTGCCACGTGCGCAGGCGCACCTGGCACACTCTGCGCGTGCTCCGAACGTGGCGCACCTGGCGCGGCTAGAGCATGCGGCACACATGGCGCATCTGGCGCACCAGGCGTGCCCGGCACGCTTGGGGCACAGGGGTGTCTGGCGCACCTGGCGCGCGTGGCGCGCCTGGCACGCCTTGTGCACCTTGCCCCATCGTTGCGCACATGGGGTCTCTTTTGGACCCCATTAGCTGTCCTCGCTGAACACGCTGCGGCTCGGGTGCTACTAATGTGTTGGGGTCTCTTGACCACTGTTCCCTATCAATAAACACCCCCTCCCCCAGGCGACAGGCAGCCCAACCAGGACCAATGAGGACCCCCCCCTGTCAAAAATCAATGTGAAGTCCACTTGTGGGAAAAATCTTGGATCATGATCGGGGGGGCCGCGAGCACATTGCATTGGTTTGACAAGGACGGCGAGGGTGCCCGCATACTACCTGCTGCGCGCAGGGGGAGGGCTGGGGTGCTGGCATCTTGCTGCGTGCAGGCCCACCAGCCGTTATGATGGTCACCCCGTCGCGATTGCGCACTGGTTTTCGACAAGGGTAGCGAGGGCCGACACGTTTCCCAATATGTACTGCCACGTGTGCAGGCGCACCTGGCACACTCTGCGCGTGCCCCGAACGTGGCGCACCTGGCGCGGCTAGAGCACGCGGTACACATGACGCATCTGGCGCACCAGGCGTGCCCAGCACGCTTGGGCCACAGGGGTGTCTGGCGCACCTCGCCCCAGCGTTGCGCACACGGGATCTCTTCTGGTTCGCATTAGCTGTCTGTTCAAAAATTACAGCTGAACGCGCTGCGGCTCGGGTGCTACTTTATGTGTTCGGAGGGCGGGTGGGAGTGAGCCAGACTGCTTGCGGGCGGGGTAGGTGTCTTGAACACTGTTCCCTATCAATAAACACTCCCGGCGCCCTGCGACCACTTTGCATGCGTTTTTGACAAGGACGGCGGGGATGCCGACATATTGCTTGCTGCGCGCAGGCCAACCATCCCGTTGAACAAAACTATGTAAAAATACACTTTGGCTCAAACTCTGGAGCATGTGCAGGGCCTTTTTCATCTGAGCTCTCATCTGTTTCACGACTCTTCAATATGTCACAATGTGTCCATCGTTGCCGGTCCTCGGAGCTCCCTGGAAGAGCTGCCCTTCTCACAGAATGCGCGGCACTTCGCTTCAGGGGGATATTCGAGATCCTAGACTCCTTTGGGCCAGGGCCCCAGGCACCTGGGGTCCCTGCTGGTTCCCCTCAGCTCGCACACCTGGCATGGCGGGAGCATCTAGGGCTCCCAACTTCGCGCTTCGCGCTGCGCGAAGCGCGAATAACTTCGCGCTCTCGCGCCGCCCTCCCAAAAGGAGAATAGGAGGACGAGGAGGAGGGGGAGAAGGAACGAGGACCGCGAAGCGCGAAGCGCGAATAACTTCGCGCCCTCGAGGGAGCCCTTGGAGCATGAGGCACAGTTGGCGCACGTGGAGCATGTGCCGCAGGGTGCCACGCTTGGGCCTCCAGGGTGCCCGGTGCCCGTGGAACTCGTGGCGCGCACGGCACGTGTTAACCAGCCTCGAACGTATCCCTATCCCTAAGATGTGCGAACAAAAAGCGAGGACAATCTTAGGGATAGGCCCTCAAAAACTGAGGGAATCCTTAAGATCGGCATCGAGGTGAGGTGATGTCAAACATAGGGATAGGGATATGTTCCAGGCTGGTCATGTGTGGTGTTCCTAGGCGATCTGCTGGCACTCGGGCGTTCCCTGTGCTGGGAGGGCGGGTGGGAGTGAGCTACACGGGCTGCTCTCTAGGAGGGTGCCTTGATCCCTGTCCCTACCCCCCTCCTGAGTCTGGAGGGGGGGGGTCGCAAGGGGTCAGAGCGTCCAAGATGGCCTCGGCGAGGAAGCCAAACTCATTGATGCTACTAACGTTTTGGCAACAGTTTGGCCTCCTGGGAGGGGGGGTCTTAATTGGGGAGCTCCTCTCCTTTGATCAGTCTCCTCCAAAATGGCCTCCGAAACTTCCAAGGGTGCCCAAAGAAGGCCCCAAGAGGTGCCCAGGAGGCCCCAAGAGGCCCCCGCGATGCCCAAAGAGGCCCCCCAGAGGCAGCCAAGACGCCCCAAGAGGCCATCCAGAGGTACCCGAGACGCCCCAAGCGGCCTCGGCGAGGAAGCCCCAATCATGGATGTTGCTAAGGTTTTGGCCACATTTTGGCTTCCTGGACGGAAGGCCTAATTGGGGCGTTCCTCTCCTTTGATCGATCTCCTCCAAGATGGCCCCAGGATGGCCCCCGAGGTTCCCAAGGGTGCGCCAAGGCGGCCCCAAGAGGTGCCCGGGAGGCCTCAAGAGACCCCCAAGAGGCTTCCAAGACGACCCAAGAGGCCACCCAGACCCAGCCAAGGCGCCCCAAGAGGCCCCCCAGAGGTACCCACGACGCCCCACGAGGCCTCGGCGAGGAAGCCCAAATCATTGATTGTATTAAAGTGTTGGCCACATTTTGGCCTCCAAGGGGGGGGGCCTGATAAGGATCGCCCCTCTTTTGATCGATCT